AGGCTCCAGAACCAACAGCTTAACTAACCTACTTTACTGTGTATTCCAGTATTAACACAATGAGAGCCACATCAATGCGGACAATGGGGCAGGGTAGGGGAGGCGGGGAGATTTGCTTTTCCTAAAGATCCTTCTAGCACCTTAGAAAATTCATATTGTTTTGAACTGGTTTCTGAAATGCTATAGAAAACAGAGACCCACAGAATGCTGTACAACCTGGAAGATAAAAGTTCTAAAATAGTATGGGATTCTGCCATAAATAAAGTCCCAGAAAGAGTCCAGGTCCACAATATGCTTTCCACTAAAGGTAGGGAGGAGCTTTGTTATGATTATTACAATCTAATTTAAAACTAAAGCCAAGCTGGAAGGGAAAAAATATTGAAAATAAACTCTCTCCTAAAGCTGTCAGTCTGGCTGTGGTCTCCAACTGTTTTAGTCACTAAAACTCTGTATTTAATGGTCACTTTTATAACAGATACTAAAGAAATATAAAGCTGTAAATCAGAATTTATTTCTAAGGAATGGAAAGAAATATGTTGCTGTGCTAAGGAAAGCCAAAGAGAGAGAGTGCCACCATGCTGCCCTTGCTGGTGGTGATTCTGTAGCAAGTGCTCAGCGAGGCCTTCAGTTTCGTGCTGTGACCCAATAACCTTACTCCTGCTGGAGGGAAATCCCTTCTGTATGTGCTGAGCCCCCATCATTCCCAACATCCCAAGCAACAGCAACTTCTGTCCATTTGTCCTGGATCTAGAGCTCCCCATTCACGCTTGAAGTGGCCACCGTTTCCCATATGACTGGCATATATTTCACATGGTGTTACTGCCACAGGAAGTAAATACTGGGTGGCCCAAGTGAAAGTCTCCCATAATCCTCACTAACAAAGTCCCAGAGCATTTATCTGCTAAGCCCTAAGGATGTGGTTTGTCTCCGGCTATGTATGACATCTTTCAAATTCTTTAGCTCAGAAGAACATTCCAGGAATTCCACTCTGGTCTATCACTAACTGCAGAATCAAAAGACCAAATGCTAAGACTGCATTTGGCTAGACAGTGTTTTCTAATGTTAATAAGGTCATGTGATCAAACTAAAATCAGGTAAATATAACTGAGGCAAATGAACAAACGCCTGTGTGTGTGTGTGTGCGCGCGCGTGTGTGTGTGTGTGTGAAAGTCACTCAGTCATGCCCAACTCTCTGCGACCCCATGGACTATACAGTCCATGGACTTCTCCAGGCCAGAATACCGTAGTGGGTAGCCTTTCCCTTCTCCAAGGGATCTTCCCAACTCAGGGATCGAACCCAGATCTCCCACACTGCAGGTGGATTCTTTCCCAGCTGAGATACCAGGGAAGCCCAAGAATACTGGAGTGGGCAGCCTATCCCTTCTCCAGAGGATTTTCCTTACCCAAGAATCGAACCGAGGTCTCCAGTATTGCAGATACTTAACTGACTGAGCTACTAGGGAAGCCCTAGCAAATGACTCCTTATCCTTAAACCCCAACTACAGTGTTTCCTCCTCTCTGACTCTCTCAAGTTAGTCTCTCTCCCTCTTCTGGGTTCTTAAGACATTTCATTTATAACTCAATTGTGGCACTGAACACCATGTTTCTGATTATCCTTCTTAGGCCAGTCTCCCTTACTCTCTACACTATAGCTCCTGGACACCAGGGGCCATTGGTCTATCATCTTAATGTTCTCAGCATTTAGAAGAACTGGCAAGTTGGCTTTCAATAAACAGTCAGTGAAGAAAAGAATGTGAAGGGAATCACATTAACTAATTAACCACAATACTGGGTCAGTATTTCTGTGGCTCAATTTTTTGACTTGGCCTAGCTCTCATTCTGGTTCTCTTCTACTGTGAACCTTACATCAGAGACTTTAGGTACCCTGAAGCTGATGTGAAAGATAAATAAGCATATAGGTTTACAATAAATTGACTGAATTTATCAGAGCAAGAAAGTAACTAGTGTATGGCTGCCTCATTTTGCTTTAGCAAACTGGGTATAATGAATTTAAGACTGTGTCCTCTCAGCTTTCCCCACCCAGAGGGAGGCAAGCCTAGATGGCCATCCCCACAGTCCACAGGAAACCAAGAAGAGGACAGATCATTTGCCCCCATCATTATCCTCCTGGGCTTCCCTGGTGACTCAGCAATAAAGATTTTGCCTGCCAATGCAGGAGACACAGGTTCAATCCCTGGGTTGGGAAGATCCCTTAGAAAAGGAAATGGCAACCCACTCCAGTATTTTTGCCTTGGAAGCTCCATGGACAGAGGAGCCTGGCATGCTACCATCCATGGGGTTGTAAAGAATCAGACACGACTTTGCAAGTAAACAGCAAATTATTCCTGTACCCTGCACCAACAGCTTCAAACCCATCCAACATAAGGGCATCATGACTCTACCTCCAAGTTACAGATGTCATAAAGTCCCTTACTCTGGGCAAGGGAAGCCCTGGTAAAGGCAGGACCAGAAGAATTAAGCCCTGACCTTTGCCCCAATATGCCTGAATGTATTCCTGAGCTAGAGCCACATTCCAAAGTTCTCCCTTCTTCTATCACACATTTTGTGTGTGTGTGTGTGTGTGTGTGCGCGCGCATGCGCGTGCGCACGCTTAGTCACTCAGTTGTGTCCAACTCTTTGAGACCCCATGGACTGTATCACATATTGATCACCCTTTATTTCCTAGGTGACAGAGAAGATTTATTAACAGGTGAGAATTCCCCAACCCACCTGCAAGCAGAAGAATTGTCTTTGTCAGCCTAGTTCATCAATCTTTTATAATATAGAATCAGAGAATGAGTAGCAGGAATGAAGTCCAGAGAGGTGTGAGAAAAAAGGAAAACTCTAATCAGAGAAGCTTGGTCAGTCTACATAATAAAGAGTTGGGAGGTGGGTGTAAGAGAGGGTAAATCTAGTTGTCAGTGAATACATTGGGTGGTAGCAAGTGAAAGAAAACTGGAAAGGAAAAGAAGTCACATTTTATGATATGCAGCTGATGGATAAGAACAAGTGCCACTTTCAAGTCCTTTGAGAGACCCAAGTAAAGACTGAAATCACTTTTAAATAATTTGTGGTCTAGGCTGGGCTTACTTCTAGGGGACTCCATGCAGAGATTGGACCATTTGGGCTCTCAGCTTGCTTTAGAGTTATACCTACCATTACCTAGTGTGGGAACACCTTTCCAGTTTGGGATACTTGTCTATGGTAAAAATCACTTTTCCACATCCTTTCTAATATAATCCACAAGGGGCCAATCTGTGTCTACAAATGATAATTAGACTTGTTTTTAAGAAAATATAAAATTAACTTTTATGTTACGTACCTACTATTGGCCAGGCACTGTGAAAACTGCTTTAAATGTGTTTACTTCTTTTTTTAGTAATGACTTTTTTATCCTGTCTCTTTTCAGAAAGGCTAAAAAAGCAGCTTAGAGTACTTAAAACACAATAACATAAATGAAAAGTGAGAGCAAATCTAAAAAACAGAACAAAACAATGACAGTGTATAAATGGAACCAGGTATGAGGCCAAGATTGTACACCATAATGATGTATGAAACTGATGGACCACACGTTTGGCTCCAGGCTTTCTAGCAGCTAGTTCAAAGAAGGAAAACCAGTCAGGTATACAAATCACCAAATTCATAAGATTAAAGCACAGCAGGAGAAGTGAAACTTCTTGATATTAAGACCAAATAAGAATTTCTCCAGTGGAGAGGAACACTGCATGATGGACAAAACAGCTTCCTCTACAAAATCCTTAAAATAAAATTTCAAATGCAAGTGTCAAACTCTATTGCTTATAGTGACATTTGAATATAAGCTGATGACTTTTAACTAACTAAAAGCAACTGTGCCCAGAGGTGGGCTATTTTAAAACTCTGTGAAGTTGTTGGGAAAGAAGAAAATTTTTCCTCTACCTTTCTAGGCCCTTTTGGTTGGTCTAATAATTAAATTGACATGAAACAAATTAACAGGAGAAAATCTAATTTAATTTCATTAGTATAGGAACCCCATGTACATGAGAAGGTCAGAGACAGAAAGGTAAAATGAGGTATACGTGCCACCCTGAGCTAAAGAAGGGGCTGGGGGCCTGAAATTTGGTGACTAGATGTGTGTCCAGCCTATAGATGGGTCTGTTTTGATAAAAATTTATCTTCAGTAATAACTTTTCTGGGATAAGTGCCCAATTTAAATTCTTCTAGGTAGTAAAGGGAGTGGCAGTAGTTTCTCTTGAACCTATATATAGAGTCTCAACTGCCTCTCAAAATAATGCTCATGCAAAAGTGTAACATCTGGGGTAGGCTTGTTTTGAACCCTTACAAAGTCAACATCACTCTCCAGCCTTGTATATAAATAAGGAAGTTAAGACTCAAAGGGGTTAACTGATTTGTCCACAAATACACCAAATGAGGTAGACATTCAGGTTTAGGGGTTTGTATGGGGCCATCTGCCTCCAAGGCCCAAGCTCTTTGTACCACCTGTGCTACTCTAGCAATGCCAAACCATATAACAAAAAGACTCCTCTTTTATGATTAATATTATTATTAATCTTTGTCAACCTGATGGGGGAAAATAAGGCCTCATTTAACTGTTCCATTAATTATGAACGAGGTTCAACATTGTTAAGTATGTATAAAAATTGGTTTTTTATTGAAGCATAATTTCTTATTCTATATTAAAAAGGTTAATTGCTTCTCTGTCATATATTTTTCAAATAAGTTTTTCCAGTTAAAAAAAAAAAACCTTAAAACTCTCTTCCAAATGCATCATGATACATATGTATTTCCTTCTTAAAAACATAGAACAAAGATCTTCTCAGGAGACCATGTTATCAGCCTCTGTTATAAGGGAAGGGCTCTCATTAACTTTAGGTTGGTATCTATTCCAGCATCAGTGTGTATGTTTAAGTGTAACTGAAGTTGGTGTCATCCATCAGTGATGGCCCTGAACACCAGCCTTCAAAAGAGGCTGATCCTGTGGGTGGCAACCAAGATCTTACGTTTTAAGTGTCTTCTCAGGTGTCCTCCCTGGACCAGCAAGTGAAGGCTTCTTGGAACATCTCCTTCTCCTATAGAATGGGATGACAGGAAAAGATGCTCATGAGAAGAGGAACAGGAAGAGGAGAGTGGGGAGGAGATTTGGTCATACTGAAGGGATATGGGAGGCATGCTAAAGAAAAAGGAATGTGCTGCTATATTCAAAATGGATAACCAACTAAGGACCCACTGTATAGCACGTGGAATTCTGCTCAATGTCATGTGGCAGCCTGGATGGGAAGGGAGTCTGGGGGAGAATGGATATGTATGGCTGCATATGCATATGTATAGCTGAGTCCCTTCACTGTTCACCTGAAACTACCACAACACTGTTAATTGGTTATACCCCAATACAAAATAAAAAGTTTAAGAAAAAGAAATGTGTTGCCCAGACTCAAGCAGCTGGGGAACCGCAGGCCCCAAAGTCCAGAGGAACAAGATGAAATTTCTATGTACAGGGCAGGAACAACTGGACAGCAGTCCTCAAATCAGAATACCACAGAGCTTTCTGGAATCACATTCCCAATCCTATCCCAGACTACTGAATGAGAATCCCAGGGCCAGCTGACCTTGGCTGATTCTGATACACAGAAAAGTTGAAAATCACTGAGAAGGGAGACTTGAAGTGAGATCAGGTTTTTAAACGCACAGATACTCACTAAGGGCCTTCTGTGTGCCAGAATTTAATCCAGACACAGGAAAAGAGGGATGAGCAAAAAGTCAAGACCCGGTCCTAGAACTCACAGCTCGGTGGAAGAAACAGGTATTAGATAAATAAATGTACACTTCCAAACCTACACCTTTCTCTTCCCCTAGAATCAAGTCTGCTGGCCCACACTGAATAGACTGAATTTGCCAAGACCCAGGAAACTTGGCTTTAAGATGTGTGAAGAGTTGCATTTCCAAAAGGCATAACCTGAAAGGAGGAAAGCACCCTCTTGTGGCCCTGCAGTTGGTGGCACCTAAAATAACCCCCAGTTCTAAAGCGTAGGAGGCTACCCTGGGCAGGCAACCCTAAGGAGGAGGCCCTAAATCAGCAGGAGTGTCAGCAGGCCCTGTTTTGCTTCAGTCATAAATCCCTCTTCAATGTCGAATCAGCCGCTTCACCAGAAGACATTTTCCCTCGTGTCCATTGCTAAGCGGTTTTACTTCTGACCACCTGGGCTCTCTGGTGTGGAGTCAAGTGACACATTCTACAGTCAAGGCAGCAATCCCAGTTCATTTCCACTCTCCCCACAGCTCTAACACACAGCAGCGCCTGGAACAGGGAGGTGTTCAATAAATATGCAGTGAATAAATAAACAGAGTGCACTATCCCATCTAGTCCAACATTGCCTGCTTTGTGGGATCTTGGGAAGACTGGACAAATAATCACAGTGGTTGAGTCCCAGAATTCTCTGAAAATAAATGACTTCTTAAAATATAAAATACAATCTATGTCCCTCCTAAGAATCTCTATGAAAAGGATCATATTCACAAGGGATATACTTTGTGCTTGGAGCTAAGCCTGGTATGGCTTAATTTGCAGTAGAGTAACATGTAAATTTATGATAATAAATTATATTATTTAAATGAAATTATAAAAATAAGAGTAGCTCACTTATATTCAACTTTCATGAATGCTGACACTTCTTGAAGAACATGGAGGTCTGATTTGTATTCAGGCCTGAATACCAGCGAGAACCACAGTGCCCGGGGATTGCTGGTTTCAAGTGTGTAGATCGGAAGCCCCAGTCAAAGATCAGCACACTATGTTTAGCTTTTCCTGCATGTCTCCACTCAAGAAGTTGTGAGGAATCAACTCAGTACAGACCTCTGGGTTATGAGATGGTGCTGACAAAATCACTCCACACCATTGCTCAGCGGTCACCAGGAAAGGAGGCCAGAACGAGAAGGAGGAAAGGAGTATGTTACAGGGTATGATCGAAGAATCAAAAGGGCAGAGAGAGAGAGAGAAGCACTGAATGAAAGAAAAAAATGTTTTAAGAATTATTTGCTCCAGTACTTAATCCACAGAATCCAAAAGTAAACAAACCTGTCAGTAGCCTCTGAAGGAGGGAACTGATTTTGAGATATGGTGATTATGAGTCTACTTTTGAAGCTTGTAAAATATTCTATTGAGTTAAGAAATGCCAGAGGCTGAGAAGTACTTCTGGCCAAAGAGTTAATCCATCTGAGTTGAAGAGACCACAGCACACAGGAGAAAAGATGGCTGACTAAACAGCCCATGACTGCATCATCATCGTCCCTCACCGGATCCCACTTCTGGATCTGAGCCTCCTCTACTCACCACATCTGGCTGAGCTCAAGGCATCAACTCTGACACCTGCAACTGTGGGGTATTTGCGAGGGAATTAATGATGGCCAGAGAAGCAGCTTCAGTCACCTCCAGATAAATCACATTAAATCCTCAATATTCATAATTGTAGAACCCTATCACTGAGGTTTGCTGAATGTAATAATCCTACATTACGCCCCAACCACCATCCTCATAAAATATATGGGAGGAATGGTCAAAAACAGCTTCAGAGTCACAGACTCCAGGGTTTGAACTCTGGATTTGTTAATTAGTAGCTGTGCAAATTTGGGCAGTTTACTTAACCTCTCTGAGCTTTCATTTCAAAATGCGGACTGTAACAGTATCTACCTCATTGGATTCTGTGTGTGTGCGTGCGCGCGTGCGTGCGCACGCTCACATGGATGCTAAGTCGCTTCAGACGTGTCTGACTCTGCAACCCTATGGACTGTAGCCCACCAGGCTCCTCTGTCCATGGGATTCTTCAGGCTCGAATACTGGAGTGGGTTGTCATTTCCTTTCCCCACCCAGGGATCAAACCTGCATCTCTTATGTCTCCTGTATTGGCAGGCGGGTTCTTTACCACTAGCGCCACCTGTGAAGGCCTCATAGGATTATAGTAAGAACCAAATGGCATGGCATATGTAAATCTCTTAGCAAATGCATGGAAAATAATCTTTCAGTAATTTTTTTAAAAATTTCTTACCTGAGTTCAAAGGTATCAAATGACTTCCCTGAGCTGACACAGAGGCAACCCAGCACCATTTGCTCTTCTTTATCATGAATGAGGTTTCCATTACTATTTGTGCTCCATATTATCTATTCCCTCATCTATTAGTAAATGTGCTGAATTTTAAAAGAGCCTTGTTTCATCCCTCCTAAACATTTCAACCTTCTTTGGAGAAATAGTTATTAACCATCATTCTCTGTTCATAAGCATTCAGTTAGGCTCACATCCAAATGTCAAGTATTCAGAACTGTAAATGCTGAAATAATTTTTCCAGTAAAATTTCATGAGTTTCCTCATAAAGGGTTTCATTAACTCCACTTTGCTAGATGTAATCTTAATCCTCAAAACTGCAATTAAGCCTTGCTAGTGGTGTTTTGGTTTTCTCTTTAATCGAAATTAAAATATCCCTGAGGACAGAATTGTGGCTTCCAGTTCCTTCATATCCTACCCAATATTTGGCAGTATTAATATCTGTCTGATCAGTTACATCCTTGATATCATTGAACACAGCTATAATAATCTCTAGTTCAGGAAAAGAAACAAACTCTCTTTTCTCAAACTAAAGGCTAGGACTACAAAGTGATAAGAAAGGTTTGAGAAAGGTGTTTCAATCAAAGCAACCACTTTGAGATGACTGTGACAACTTCAGACTACACAGAGTGAAACAGCCTCCTTGAGTTCCCAGACCCAACATCCTCACCAATCCATTTATACAATCAGAAGGAGAAAATCTTCATATTGTTAAAAACAATTGGAGTGATAAAAACCATACAATCTAAAGTCCATCACCCTGCACATACACATGAGATATCATGGACGACAGTATCACCCCATTACCTCATGAATTTGAATAGTGAAGGACCGCAACACCACCACCCTTCCCTAGCCTTTCCAGTTACACAGCAGCTGCCACTTTTGTGACAGTGGACAGTCCTCCTATGACCTTTACTCTGCCCACCATTCACACTACACTTCAAACCACATAATACAGTCCCTCCCTTGCCAGCCTATGGAAATTCTAAGTCTTTGCCTAATGTTCACAAATCTCTCAACCACCAGACCCCAGAATGGTAGCATGCTCCCTTCAGGGCTCTCTTGATGGCAGACCACAGCCGTCCTCACAGTGCAGGAGAGAATGCCACAAGCTCTAGGCATTCTCACTTATCAAGTCCATGTATGCCATGATATCATGGCTGGATACATGTGCCCCAGAGTCAGACTACCCAGCAGAGGATCTTAGCTCTAATACTTAGGTAAACCTGTGAACTTGGGTAAACGACTGAACCTCTCTAAGGCTCAGTTTCCTTATCTATAAAATAGGGATAATACTGTTAACTCAATGACTTGTTATAGGGAGTGAATGAGATAACATTGTAAAGCAGCCAGTATAGTATCTGATACATAGCAAACATTCAATAAATGTTCACTATTGCTATACCTTGAGAATGAATCATTGGAGAATTACTTAATGGCTGGCTGCCATATCCAACAAGAAAAATCTAGAAGTAAATGCTTTTTTCTTTTTCTCTTTGCCAGGCATTGTGTTGTTGCTGTTCAGTTGCTAAGTCAAGTGCGAATCTTTGCAACCCCGGAGACTGCAGCACACCAGGCTCCCTGTCCTTCTCTCCCAGAGTTTGCTCAAATTCATGTCCATTGAGTCAGTGATGCTATCTAACCATCTTATCCTCTGTCACCCTCTTCTCCTTTTGTCTTCAACCTTTCCCATCATTAAGGTCTTTCCTAATGAGTTGGCTCTTTATATTAGGTTACCAAAGTATTGGAGCTTCAGCATCAGTCCTTCCAATGAATATTCAGGACTGATTTCCTTTAGGATTGACTGGTTTGATCTCCTTGATGCCCAAGGAACTCTCAAGAGTCTTCTCCAACACTACAATTCAAAAGCATCAATTCTGCGGTGCTCAGTCTTCTTTATGGTCTACCTCTCCCATCATACATGACTACTGAGAAAACCATAGCTTTGACTAGACAGACCTTTTTTGGCAAAGTG